GCATTAAATTTGAATAGTTTTATAGGAAAGTAAATAAGTTTGGGCAATTATTCATGGAACTAACGCCTTTATTCGGTTAGATTCAGTAATGCTTGTGGACTTTAGAGCAGTTCCAGCCCTGTTTTGAACGAAATAGGGAAAAATATCAGGCATTATGGCTTTTGTTGCTTCTCAAGAATTTCCAAGTTGATGGCTTTCTGCGCTGCACAGTCTGCAAAACGGGAAGGCCATGTAGCATTTTTTATTGGGCCATCAGAAAAAAAACTTAAATTTTGCAGCTACATGTAAAACTGTCACTATCTCTACTACCATTCACTGTAGGAAGTAAAACAGCATCTCAAGGTCATCTAGTGTACAGCAGTTTCCTTCTCCCATTTATTTCTTCACTTTAAAGTTTGAATTCTGCTTTTTACTCCCTCTCTCGTCTGTCTTTCGTTCGTTCTATATAAGGTTCTAATGGGACCAATTAACACTTCCATTTATCACACAAACGAATTAGGATAGAAATGTGATTGTATCTTAGTCAACCTTCTGTGCCATTAGTCGCAATGGATGGAAATTAATTAGATTAGCGCTACTTGCACTTCTAGCCACTCAGTGATTGGGGAGGTCTAATTAATAGCTCCCTCTACGTTCAGGGCCGTCAGCTTTAGCTCGAACACACTCGCCTTTCTGACCCTGGGGCATTCGTTAGGACGTAAAAGTGCCCTCTTTTCAATCCCTGCATAGGTAGGCTTTATAAGGGCATAGCGAGAGGTCAACAGGTCCGTTTTTGGGCCATATACTAAAAGAATTACCCTATCACGCCTATATATCCTGTGGCGCAGAAATATCCATTAGCAGGATATGAAATTTCTTGTGGAAATCAAGCTCTCCACTTCGACCAATTAGGGAGAGACTGTGTGCAAAATATGCTAATTATCCACCACGATATACCTGTCAAACCAATTTATATGTATGAAGGCGTATGATTAAAGATTCTTCGGGAAAAAAAGTTACCCAACATGCGCCCGCCGGCTTAGAAGCTCCTATCATCGTACTAACCGGTGGTAAAACACCATGAATAGATAAATTATCATTCATAAAGGGTCTATATCTCACTTTTCATTATGTGTGTGCGGCCGTCCAATTTACAAGATGGAGGGGGTATGTGTGGTAAAAAATCCCCCTTTGAGTCATGAGCGTGCGGCGTTACTACTACCATGAGAACACGAACTGCCGTTCCCCTCCCCTTCACCACATCCGTGTGAATGCAATGAACAATGAAAAAGCGGTTGGTTAATACCGTCTTTATCCCATAGTATTAAGGGCCTATTGCTCATACATGTTTAAAAAAACAATGGCTTAACTGCGTTGGAGAGAAGACATTGTGTATTTTTGATGAATCACTTGCGTGAATTACAAATGCGTTCCTCTGTGCAACCTAGAAAATGACCATGCTTAAACTCGAATTTTACACTATGATTTTAACAAATGTTGTGAAAATTGTGCTGAATACAGTTTTAATTTCGTTAGAGTTTAAGTAGTCTGGGCGTCCATCATTCTTCCTTGTGCTTTGTACAGCCAATAATGCAATTAGGCTTGACATGAAATTTAATAAGTATGCGCCACTATTTTGGCAGCCAAATTTTACATGATATAATAGTAAGTCTGTTCAGCGTACATTAGATGTAAGTACAGTCGAATAAGGGAAGTAATTAACGGATTGGGTACTATTTGCAGAGTATAAGGTTGGGGAGGGGGGGGGGGGGGGGGGGTGGACTAGACTGGATGAATCATGGTTGTCAAATCCAGGACTGTTCCAGCCACGCCGCCACCAATACGGTGAACAACTCAGTGGTCGGTGATTTCGTGAGTGTTTGGATAGCATGCCGCAATTTAAACGAGTCCTCACGCGACCTCTCTATATGGGCAATTGCATTCTATGGTGTTTTCTTTTCTCTCCACAACTTAGCGGACTGCGTGAGCGTGGGCATGAGATAGAGAGAGGGAGAGAGAGGACTTGCGAGAAAAGTAGTCATCTCGTTTCACCCAACCAACCCCTACTGTCTTCTTCCTGCTTGCTTTGCATGAGTTTCATTCCGGACTGGTTAAAATTTAATTAACTGAGTAGATCTCCAGATTTTTTTCTTGTTTTACCCTTTGTATACCATTTCCTATCCTTTGTTTAAATCGATTTCACAGCCAGACCATGACCTAGTAACTGGGCTGGCTGAAAATATCATTAAAATTCCTGTGTCAGCACTTGGAAACTGACATTTGCGAGTTGTAAAAAATTCACACAATTCCCCCATCAACTCCCTCTAGAGGGGTTAGACATCAGCACTAAAATGTCGCAACGCCTCGTTAATGTGTGTCTATATTAATCATGTCCGAAAAAAACTGAAATGCACTGATTGCCTTTTGATACTTCATTAATGACCATCCAATTTCGATCTACGTAAATTTATTGCTCATTTGCCTTTCGGTTAGATATTTAATGTCTGTTGGCGTAAGGTAATTAAATACGTGAATCCAATTTGTAATCGAGTGGTGTTTTCAATGGGTTGTAAAAGTACTTAAAGCAAATATTATTATTTAGATGACATAATTACCGAACGGAGTAGGCGTTTACTAGTATTTCAGTTAGCTTTTTCCCTTTATAACAAGGAAAATTTTAGATTTTGTTCATATTGGGCCCTTAGGTCATTCATTTATTTATTTATTTCAAATGGCAGGCGTTTTGATAGTTATCATTAGCCATTTAGCCGACTTCGGGCCTCACAGAGAGGAGGAGGAACATCAAAGTGACAAAAAGTCGAGAGGGGGGACAGAATATGATTCACAGATGTAACAGAGATAGAAAAACGGACGAAAAGGCAGAGAAATGGTAAGAGGAGTACTTTGGAAGGGGTCGAATATGGCATACAGTGAGGTGATGGGAGTTTGAAGTCAGAAGTCAACTGCCAGTTAATAGACTTTTTGCCGTATGAGTATACGTTGCCCAGGGTGCACCACCTGGAGGTAAGTCTATCGCACACCCCTTAGGTCTTTCATTTACATAGTTTAATGCTCCTCTCAATAGAAAAATTATGCAAATCTTTANATACGGCAAAAAAGTCTATTAACCGGCAGTTGACTTCTAACTTCAAACGACCAACACCCCACTGTATGCCATATTCGACCCCTTGCACAGTACACATCTTACCTTTTTCTCTACCTTTGTGTCTGTCTGCCTCTTTTACATCTGTGAATCGCTCTTCTGTACCCCACCCCTCGATTTTCTTCTAATTGATGAACCTTCCCTCTGTGAAGCCTGAAGTCAGCTAAATGGCTAATGATAGCTATCAAAACGCCTGCCCTTTGAAATAAATAAATATTAAATTGAGTGGTTAAGAGTTTATTAAGGGAAAAATTAAAAATAAATAGAAATATGCTACATTACGCAAGTATGGTTGGTATAAAAAATGTCTCGTGTCTTGCACCATGCCAAAAATGATATTGAGCGCTTGCGCGATATCACGTGATGCCAAGCGGTCAAATTTGTCAACTGAGCATAACTCAGTGTTGCGCTGTCACTTATTAACAAGGTTTGGGTAAATGATCCAGAAAAATTCTATTTCTTTTTTAAGCTAATGAGAGTGGTTAATGTTGAAAATTAATTGAGAAATGAAATAAAAGATCCACACAAAATGCTAAAGGTATTGTTCAGATAATTGCAGCTGAATTAAAATGTTGTAAACAAAGTTTAAATGTTCATGGGCCTCCGTTAAGAAGATCGCAGAACTCAACCAGACGCTCATCCTCAGAATTAAAAATCAAACGAGAGTCACGCCAAGACCCACATTGGGTCAGTTATACTTTTCGCTCATACGAAGTAGGGAGGATAAAAATACCGTAAAATGACAATGTATTTATTTATTTATTTCAAATGGCAGGCGTTTTGATAGTTATCATTAGCTCTTTAGCTGACTTCGGGCTCCATAGAGAGGAGAAGCAACATCAAAATGATAGAAAGTAGAGAGGGAGGGGGGGGGACAGAAGAGTGTTTCAAAGAGACAGACACAAAGGCAGAGAAAAAGGAAAGGTGAGTACTGTGGAAGTAGTCGAGTACGACATATAGTTTGAAGTCAGAAGTCAACTGCCGGTTTATAGACTTTTTTGCCGTATGAAGATACGTTGCCCAGGGTGCACCACGAGGAAGTAAGTCTATCGCACACCCCAAAATGACAACGTTATTGTGAATCATTATTTATTCATGTCACTGATGGTTGTCTNTAGCTTTTTCCCTTTATAACAAGGAAAATTTTAGATTTTGTTCATATTGGGCCCTTAGGTCATTCATTTATTTATTTATTTCAAATGGCAGGCGTTTTGATAGTTATCATTAGCCATTTAGCCGACTTCGGGCCTCACAGAGAGGAGGAGGAACATCAAAGTGACAAAAAGTCGAGAGGGGGGACAGAATATGATTCACAGATGTAACAGAGATAGAAAAACGGACGAAAAGGCAGAGAAATGGTAAGAGGAGTACTTTGGAAGGGGTCGAATATGGCATACAGTGAGGTGATGGGAGTTTGAAGTCAGAAGTCAACTGCCAGTTAATAGACTTTTTGCCGTATGAGTATACGTTGCCCAGGGTGCACCACCTGGAGGTAAGTCTATCGCACACCCCTTAGGTCTTTCATTTACATAGTTTAATGCTCCTCTCAATAGAAAAATTATGCAAATCTTTAGGATTGATTATAATCAGCATATTCAGGCGCAGAATTAGCTTTGAGGCGCAATTAGTGAAGCTTTCATTTTGTTGTGTAATATTACGACAAGCTGAACGTCTAAATGCAATCATTAGAGTTCACGATTGGTGATTAGAAATTGATCATTGTTTTATAAGTACTCGCTTTAACTGAAACAGCTAAAGAGCTGCTTTAAGTATTTGTGTGTATTTATTTTTTTTCTTTTGTTCATATTTCAGATAAGCAACTAAACAATTGATTTAAATCCCACATCTCGAGCAAATGATGAACCCAGTGACGATAAACCACGTCGTGATAACTGCGTTAATCTCACTCTTATTTTCCCTTTCCCACGGTCAGTATACTGAGCCCCGTCTTTGTGATGGTCTTTGCTATTGTTCTCGGGAAGAACAAGTCGTGGATTGTGGCCGTCAGGATAAAATCATGGGTGTTCCCACGAATCTTCCCCCGGGCACTGTAAAACTCATGATTCAGGGTGGATTGTTCCCTGAACCGGGCTATCTCAGTGCTAAGAATCTCACAGGTCTAGCACATCTTGTTAGTCTTCGGATTATTAACTCCAAACTTCGTGCAGTAGAATCTCGGGCCTTCCTTGGGATGACTAATCTCCGTGATCTCGACCTTTCCCTAAATCTCCTCTACCGCATTGAGTCCCGTACTTTCTACGGCCTCAACTTGCAGACACTTTATTTGCAACAACAGCGGTATCAACCCGACCTTTATACTTCCTTTGGATCCCCAACTGATCCTGAACCGCTGGACATTTCGGCTGAGGCATTCTATGGCCTTTCTGCAACCAGTATTGATTTAAGGAAGAATTTTATCTCTAACATAAGCTATTCTCTATTTTCTCAAGTTAGAGGTCTTGAGAAGTTGGTTCTATCTGACAACAAGATTCGTCAACTGGATTCAAGATTTGCAGAATACTTTGACAACCCCAATCATCTGCTTGATCTGACTGAAAACCCCCTTGATTGCTCGTGTAAATTAGCTTGGCTTGTAAATCGTGCCAAAGACTGGGGAGCACAGGCGTCTACTCTTACATGTATTAGTGGATCTGGTTCTCGAATTGAGCTTAAAAGACTCACTACAGATCATCTATGCATGGGTTCAAAAATTCAGTCCATTGGTGTTGACATATCTCCAGCTGGAAATGCAGCAACTCTAAGTTGCACAGCTGTCACTTTCAGCCGCTTGGATTCAGCTAATAAAAATTTGGAGGGATATCGATATACTGCATTGGAACCCTATGTGAATCATCCTGTCGTTAGACAGCGTCCTCCTGCTGTTGCCTGGACGTATGTGGAGTCAGGGCAGCTTCGAAAAATCGCTGAAATGCCTTCAGATCATCCTCCGTCAATTGAACAAGAAAGCACATCTACCACACTCCCACTTAATGTCTCCCTCTCTCAGACTGGCCGCAAATTTTCTTGTATTACATGGGATGATAAACAAAATGAACAAGAGATTCTTGTTACTCTTCGAGGTTGTGCGCTTCCACCTTTAATTGAACCTAAAGAAAGTGTTAAAGACTCTTCCACCGGTTCACTCGAAGATGGGTTATCTCAGCAAGAAGCTAAACTGAAAGAGGGCGCTTCTGGACCAGCCTCTATGGGCAATATGCCTTATCCTCAATCTGGCTTCCTATTCCAGAAGCAGTATACATTGTTGGAGATGATTGGTGCTGTGATAGGAACGTTCTTAGTTACCTTGGTAGTGCTGCTAGCAGGCTCGCGGTGTATGATGATGTTGAAACAAAGGGCTATTTCTGACCACCATGCGAAAGAGATTGGTGGTCGAAGCACAACCTACGATGCTGCTCCTAAACATTCAGACGCTATTGGTAGAATGGGAACTACAATCTCAAGGGCTCCAGTGGCCAGTAATAGTAATAATTGTGGATTTAACCCGATGGCTTGTGATGGTGTGGGTGGTCCCTACCCCCAATATAATCCATATCTTCCTTCCACCTCTGGTGTGGCATTCCCTCTCCATGCTGCTCCTGCTGCCTCTAGGATTACAAGTCCCACTAATGGCCAACTATCGACAATGTCTGCCACGACCCCTCTTCTAACAACCAATATGACAATGACTGGTCTACAAGGCATGCACCAAATTCATCAATGGTCTCTACCTCCTCCCTCCACCTATTCAGCAGCTGGTAGTCAAGAATATGACGTCCCCAGAGGAATGGAATTATCTCAAGTGGCTTCCGATCAAACCACCATGCAACGAGAACACCAACAACAAGTGCAAGCTCTATCCCAGCAGCAACAGCAAGCTAAATTAAATCTCACTGTCGATGCCTTCGGAGGTGACAGCGCCGATTGATGTTGAATCTATCTATCGAATATATGTTTACACCAAGTCTTTCCAAAATTATACACCCGACCATTAATGTGTTTTTTTTCTCTCTTGGCTCTCTTTCATTATCCTCCCGTCTGCTTCTTGCCGTTATGCAGCTCTATAATTATCTTAGTAGTAGTTTGAATCTGCTGTGTACAGTTTTACTCCACTGCCTCTACTATATATAAATAAGTTCTCTATGCAATCTCCCCACCCTCTCCTCTTCCTCACATATTAATCCCTAAAACTCAGTAAGGTGCCTCAGCTTCCTCAATCTCCTGCTAAAACTCTATCTATTAATCCCTTTCAGTCTACCATCTATATAAAGTGACAGCAATACATTTCTCTTTGCCGTCCCTGTCTCCACCTCGAAATGAGTATAAATGAAAGCAAGAGAGGTGGAGATGGTGAAATCCATCCTATGTATGTGCGCCTATGTAGCTGAGACTGAATTCTCTTATTCTCATTTTCTTATACCAGCTTTGGGAAGTAAATCCTACATCACTTTTATGCTAATTCTTCTACTTCTCAAATCCATTTTTTGGGGCGAATTAATTAGAACAGTGATAATTAACAAAAGGAACTAGGGAAGGCGACTATTTTCATTCTTTTATGCGAAAATTAAAGGGTGTAGACGCATATCGAAGTGTCAAGCCCTCCAAGTGACCGTGATTGACAGCACTTCGTTTCATTAACACTCCCTCGTCATTTTATGAGTTATAGCTGCTAGAAATTGGAGATTTAAGTGGGGACGAAACTATCATTCATTAGGAAGCCTATATGAGCTCAAAATATTCGCAAATTTTTTCGGGTTGCGTGATGCATCTGATAAGGCGTTTTAGTTTTGGTAGGGTGGAAAGGAAAGGGGATAGAGGGTGGTGGATCAATCAAACAACGCTTCATAAACCCAGCCCGGGGTCTAGAGCTGTAGCAGCCGATTCAGTGAAATGATGCAGTCTATCTTACTTATATTACCACCACTGATATCTATCTCTTTCCGCACGAAATTGAAAATTGCTTCCATCGGGGTGATAACTCTGCAATATATGTATTAATGGTAAACAATTAGCTGTGCGCAGCCTATAATATCGTGAGATTATTCGGAAAAAATATTGAGGAAATGGGGGATTGGGGCGGGGAAGGGAGCAAATCTCGCTTATTTAATTGTCATGACGTAGAATATGTGAGCCTATCTTACTTCCAAAAGAATTATTTTAATTTAGGAAGCTATTCAACTGGAGGGGGGGGGGGTGCATAATGGAGACGAGTTTCACAAATTCGCATTTTGGGTTAGAAATTAATTTATAAATAATAAACAGATCGTTTCTTTCGTCATTTGTCTCCCTTGCATTTTGCCTTGAGTGCAATGCTTCTAAAGTAAGTTGTGGGAGAGAAATATTGAATGAGTCATTTTTTAAATTATTTTCGAAACTTTGATGGTCTTCCATTGTACTGCCTAACGCACCTTTGGTGGGACTTCCATAAAAGAATTTGTTACGAATACTTTACAGTTTTCCTATGTAAGAATCTGAAATGTTAATTGCCTTCTCTTGTTTGTGGGGAATGCAAGCCAAAGCACTAATTGATTTAAAATGGGGGTGTGCGATAGACTTACCTCCACGTGGTGCACCCTGAGCAACGTATACTCATACGGCAAAAAAGTCCATCAACTGGCAGTTGACTTCTGACTTCAAACTACCACCACCTCACTGTATGCCATATTCGACTATTTTCACAGTATTCACCTCACCTTTTTTCTACCTTTGTGTTTGTCTCTTACATCTTTGAAACACTCTTCTGTCCCCCCCCCCCTCGACTTTTTTCAATTTGATGTTCTTCCGCCGATGTGAAGCCTGAAGTCAACTAAAGGGCTAATGATAACCATCAAGACGCCTGCTATTTGATATAAATAAATTGATTTAAAATGTATTGAACTCCCGTATAAGGATCGAGGTTGGTAGAGCTGGCAACTTCCTTGGCAAATCTAGCGCTGAACAATTTAACCAAAATGAATGAAAATGTAAAAAATCATTTCATAACTTATTTATTTAAATCAAATGGCAGGCGTTTTGATAGTTATCATTAGCCCTGGCGCTGACTTCGGGGCTTCATGAAGAGGAGAAGGGACATCAAAGTGACAAAAAGTTGAGAGGGGAGACAGAATAATGATTCACAGGG